GGTGGCGCATGCCTGTAGTCCCAGCTACTCGGGAGGCTGAGGCAGAAGGATCGCTCGAGCCCAGGAGTTTGAGGTTGCTGTGAGCTAGGCTGACGCCATGGCACTCACTCTAGCCTGGACAACAAAGCGAGACTCTGTCTCAAAAAAAAAAAAAAATTGGCCCTTGAGAGTCAGAGGAACTGGCTCCAGCACACATTCTCCTGATCAAAGAGATAGGTTTGGGGTCAATATGTGCTCTAAGCTAATTCAATCAAAGCAAGTTTCAGAAAACTTGCTTAGAAAGTTTTTAATGCTTCTATGCCTCATGTATGCTCCTCTCTATCTAGAATTTTCCTCTCTCCCTACCTCTCATGAACTCTTATTCCTCTTTCAAGATTTAACTTTGGTTACACCTCCAGGAAATCTATCCTTTATCCTCATGGCAGATCAAGGGCACCTCCTCTACATGCCCGTGGTTTCTAGCACCTTCATTTCTTAGTACCAAATTCTAAAATTATCTGTTGACTTATCTATCCTCTCCAATAGAACCTAAGCTCATCAAAACAGAGCCTAGCACATTGCAGATGCTTAGCAATATTTATTCAACAAGACAAAAGCAACAAAAATAAAATAAAAATTGTCACAAAATAATCATAAGAATTATACATTCAGAGCAAATTTTGGTTGCTGAATTATAGCAAGTATCATCAGTTAAGCCACTACCTACCAACGTCGCCCTTGTCAATATATCTCAACTCCATATTTATGAGCATGATTATGCCACAAAGTAATCAATATTCAAAATCATTTTGTTGAAATCTAAACACTGGATAAGTGGGTCTTAAATGTACAGTAGCAAAAAAGTGAGATCCACAGATTAAACTAATCTACGCTGTTAGACATCAGGATTTTGGCCCTCTTGGTGGAGAAGGGATAATGCCTGGAAAGAAGCACAAGGAAGGCTTCTAGGATGTCAGGAATATTTTATATGTCCTGATTTGGGCGCTGGTTACCCAGGTGTGTTCAGTTTCTGAAAATTCATTCAGCTATATATACTTACAATATGTACACTTTTCTCTATATATAGTATACAGAAATTAAAGTGTTTTAAAATCAATAGATATAAGACAGTTTGTCTCCACCACTCACAAAAACAAAACAGAAGAAAAAAATACCATTCCAGTGTTAATTCATTCAGAAATGTCCATGGTAGGCCTAATGTCCCTATACACATTTATCTTTTCATCTGAATAAAAAAGCATTCTTGCCAGATAAAAACAGCCAGCTACAGAAATATTCATAGTAATTAACAAAAAAATTTTTAATCTTTGGAAAAACAAGAAAATCAGGCCGGGCGCGGTGGCTCACGCCTGTAATCCTAGCACTCTGGGAGGCCGAGGCGGGAGGATTGCTCAAGGTCAGGAGTTCGAAACCACCCTGAGCAAGAGCGAGACTCTGTCTCTACTATAAATAGAAAGAAATTAATTGGCCAACTAATATATATAGAAAAAATTAGCCAGGCGTGGTGGCACATGCCTGTAGTCCCAGCTACTCGGGAGGCTGAGGCAGAAGGATTGCCTGAGCCCAGGAGTTTGAGGTTGCTATGAGCTAGGCTGACACCAGGGCACTCACTCTAGACTGGGAAACAAAGTGAGACTCTGTCTCAAAAAATAAAAAAGGGGGGGGGCCTATCTTTGAAAGTGAAAAGCAATTACACACTGGTATGAAACCACAGTCTATCACCTAATAGATTCAAAAGTAAAACCAAAAAATGGATGAACCTTGCAAACTTGCTAAGTGAAAGAAGCCAGTCACAAAGAAGCACATAATTGCATGATTCCATTTGTAAGAAATGTCCAGAATAGGCAAATCTGTAGGGACAGAAAGTAGATTGGTAGTTGCCAGGGGCTGGGGAAAATGGGGAGTGGGAGTTACTGTTAATCGGTATGGGACTTCTCTTTGGAGTGATGAAAATGTTCTAAAATTGACTGTGGTAATAATTGTATAACTCTGAATATACGAAAAACCAATTAAGTATATACTTTAAATGGGTAAATTGTGTGGCATGTAAATTATATCTCAATAAAGCTGTTATTTTTTAAAAGGCAAAAGATCTATTCAACTACTACATGGAGATCATAAAATCAGCTTTTAATGTTTGGATGATTTGGACTGCTGGATTTGACAGATACTCTTCAATGCAAAATAACATTAGGTTTAAGAAAACATTCACTATTTCTAGAAATTTTTTCTCAATAGGACAATATTTGAACATTTCCCACATATATGTGTGTGCAGTGCCCACAAGAGTGAAAGAGACAAAGATAGAGAGAGAACTAGTTTATCTGGAGTGACAGTAGGCCAGTCTAAATACTATATTGCAAAATAATTTAGCTAAAAAACTGGACACTTATAATGACACAGGCACCTGGGAGGGATCAGGGAGTGTGCCGGCAGCATATTAGTCACTGGTTAAATAAAAACTCCCCAGCCTTACCTGCTGAGATTTAGGACACTTGAAGTCTTTAAAGTCTTTTTTTTTTTTTTTTTCTGAGACAGAGTCTCACTCTGTTGCCTGGGCTAGAGTGCCATGGTGTCAGCCTAGCTCACAGCAACCTCAAACTCCTCGGCTCAAGCAATTCTTCTGCCTCAGCCTCCCGAGTAGCTGGGACTACAGGCATGTGCCACCATGCCCAGCTAAGTTTTTCTATATATTTTTAGTTGACCAATTAATTTCTTTCTATTTTTAGTAGAGATGGGGTCTCGCTCTTGCTCAGGCTGGTTTCGAATTCCTGACCTTGAGCAATCCTCCTGCCTCGGCCTCCCAAGGTGCTAGTATTAAGGCGTGAGCCGCCGCGTCCGGCCCTAAAGTCTTTATATAATATTAAAAGTCCCTTCAGAAACCCCCATTACTCACAGAGAAATTTCATAAAGTTAACAATTCACTCTTTTGCTTTTTGCTCCACATTATGCTTCTCTATTATAACGAAATCATATCACATCCCTTCTGTGACTAAAGAACGTTTTATTTCACAGCCCCCGATAATCACCTACAAAAACCAAAATTACCAACAGTCATGATTTTGTTACCCAAAGTCACTGGGACAAACTACTGAACACTAGAATACAGCACACAAAACCACAGCAGAGTCAACCACTATCTCATCACAAGTTAACAACACCAGGTGCCCCCAAAGCCAGAGAGCTCTTGTGGTTCCATCAAGGTATGCCATCACCAGAATATAATGCCAAGTCACGCAAGGTGGTCGAGCTCCCAAGGTTTAGCAAAGGCCCGACGTGCTACCAGTTCCCCAGTGGGTGGTGATGACAGGAAGGTAACATCCTCCCCACAACTTACCCCTCCTTCCTTCCCTGAGCCGAGCAGGGGCTTTCCGGAGACCCCCCACCCGGAACCGGAAAAGCGACCATCTTCCCTAACACCCACCCCCCCGCCAGCCGGAAGTGGAGCCTAGCCAGCCGGCTCACTCACCCTGGAAGAACAGAACGCTCAGCAGTGGGAAGAGAGCGCAGCCACGGCTTCCAGCTGCTCCGCTCTGCTGCATCCCGACAACTTTCTAGATGCTTGCACACCTTGTTTACGAGCCCCAGTAACGACACAGGTAACACCGGAAGTGACGTCGGGGCGGGAGGTAGCCAGAAAAGTAAATGGCGATCCGAAGTTGCCATAGAAACATGGCTTCTTTCCAGAACCGCACCTGGTTTCACTGACCATCGATTTCTTAACTCTCAAGTGGAAGCTAATTATTCTCTTTTGCTTGAAAAGACGTAAGCTACAGACTTGGAAAATTTTTAATTTTGTTTTTATGGAATTCTGCAGGACTAGATAATCTTTATCCTCTGTATTCCAGACATTGTTTTTTTGTTTGTTTTTTTTTTGAGACAAAGTCTCACTTTGTTGCCCAGGCTAGAGTGAGTGCCATGGCGTCAGCCTAGCTCACAGCAACCTCAAACTCCTGGGCTCAAGCAATCCTTCTGCCTCAGCCTCCCGAGTAGCTGGGACTACAGGCATGTGCCACCATGCCCGGCTAATTTTTTCTATATATATTAGTTGGCCAATTAATTTCTTTCTATTTATAGTAGAGACGGGGTCTCGCTCTTGCTCAGGCTGGTTTCAAACACCTGACCTTGAGCAATCCTCCCGCCTCGGCCTCCCAGAGTGCTAGGATTACAGGCGTGAGCCACCACGCCCGGCCCAGACATTGTTTTTATCTCTAGAGATTATGCTCTCAGAATAGATTTACATAAATTTAGAGTTCAAAGATACCTAGGAAGTCATACGGAACACTCAATCAGTAGATAAATATGTATTAGGTGGTGATGCGTGCCACAAGTCTCTTTGATTCCTGTCTTCTTTAGTGTAGCTATTATAACATCCAGAATTGGGTGTTTATTAAATTGTTATTGACAGTGGCAATAATGATCAAATCATTACAGCCTATAATAAAGGAAAAAGAACTGGGATTTGTGTAGCTTTTGGTTGGAAAAGTAAGAAAGTTATCACAGTACTTGAAGTGAAATGAGATGGTGTCACATTTTTCTGGAAAAGAAATGGTACAGTACCTTGCTTTAGTCATTAGGAAGCCTGTTCTCCAGGATTGCCACATATTTAATGAAAGCATGATGAAAAGTATGCTTCAGCTTTTTGGAAGAATTAATAACTATCCATTTTTCAACTCCCACCTCTTTACTGGACTAAAAAGCTGGTAGTTTTCCCTATTCAAACTGTAATGCAAGAGTACCGAATAGAATCTTTGATACATTCTATTGAAAGAGTCCCCAAATTTAAGTGGTGTTGGTATGCCCAACTCCCAGCTATCCAAAGTGATGTGAAAATTCTGTGGAAATCCCTATACATTTATTTATCCAGTAGAAACTAATGGTATCCATTATTGACTTCCAGGTTGTCTCTACTAAAAAACCTTTTCAGGGAAGATAAAATATATATCCATCTGTTTTCTGTTACCTGCTGTGTGGAATTTTTAGATTTGTATGTAAGCAAGTTATATAATTGATAATTCTTTATTACCGAAGATTTATTTACATAATGTTTAAGGCATAATAAAAAATAAATTACAATACAAAAGTGTTCTTTAGGAAGGATACACTAAACAACAAACTGTATTATCCCTTGAGTATTTAGCCAAGACACAGAGTACAGGTTTTCCTGGAAAAACTGTCTGTGAGTTTTAACTAATTCTTCATTATATTTATGGAACATCCTCCAGGCCATCTGTTTGAAGAAATATCCAGTTATTATATTTTCAAAGGTTGAATTTTGAAGAAAAATACAAGATGTGGATTAGAGGTAATACAGACTTCAAATCTAATTTTTAGTTTTAAAACTGAATATTGAAACTTTACTTTTTTAGACAGTATAAAAGTCAGAATGAGACAGGTATGCAATGAATTTCAGAATCAAGGTTTCTATGTAAATAATAACAACTTTTAAAAAATAGTACTGGAAAAATATTAAGGTCCATTAACTTTAAATACAGATAATCTATTTGAAAATTCCAGTTTGTTAAAAGAAGTAACATCTGCAGCCCAGTTGATGGGTCTGAAGATATCAGGTTGTGAAGACTGATCTTGAGCCTAAACTTTTAGACATTTTCTATCCTTTGAACAAATGCTACTGTAGCTTAAATTTGGAAAGACGCTAGAAAACACAATTTTTAAAAGACACTCCTTCCATATTTACTTATAGAGTTTGCTTTATCTACCAGTATAAGGGAGGAAAGAATAAAGTTGGTTTCATTCAGTTTAAGTAGTTTTGGTATTTCTTTACTGCATACCAAATTCTCCCCCTCCCTGCAAAATAAGCAAGTGAATTACAACCAAAAAAATAAAGAAGAAAAAACTTAATGTCTTTCAGGTCTCAGAGCTTTATATAATACTGTACAAAGCTATCATTTAGGGTTGATTTTTTTCACCAACCCTAAATTTTCAAAATTGTAATGTGCTATTTCAGAATCCTTACGGTAAACTGCTTAATGATTCCAGTCTGAAAATGAGCATAGACTTTGCTCTGTTGTTATAGATCATTGAATTGGGGGGAAAATGTAGTAAGCTAAACAGTCAATCACTGCTCATGGAAGACATACACTGTTGATTATTTTTTGCAACATAGAAAAAAGGTAACATCCTGAGGTGGCATTTGCCAGTCTTTTAGCATTTATGTGACCTTTTGTAGTTACTTATGATTTAGCCTTGTACTATTGTAAACCTTGGATTAATTGACAACAGCAGCAAAACCTATCACCTGGGATATTAAAAGAAATTCAATACAAGATGCGTACCATACTTAAGGGGAGCCATAAAAATCAAAATGTTGTTTAACAGTTTGAATTTAAAATTTACTGTTAATCAAAAACAGCTGGGAGACTTAGCTCACCTTTTATTTGCAAATGTAGGAAGAAATGAGTAAACACATTAACTTTAGCAATAAGAGTGCTGCTCTAAAGAAACTAATATGTGAAAGGAAATGTCATGACAGACAATTTGGCTTCTATCCCTTTTAATGCCAATACATGTATATACAAGTCATAATCTATAAGGAGTGTTTAAGGGCAAAAATGTAGTTTCTTAGTTTACAAAAGCTAATGAGCATTTGAAAAATATCTGCACTCTGAAATTAAACAAAACCTTAATAATGAGGTTGTGTGTGAATCTGGCGGTACCTGCCCGAGAATAACTCTACCCTGGCTCTAGAGGAATGTTGCTTATCTAGGTGGATATGTGCTGCAGAATTGGTTGGAAGACAGGTCACAAATGGAAAAGCCAAAGAAAAGCTTCCATTAACTTCAAGAAATATTAGAGTTCTTGTTCTTGGAAATCTTCAGCTTCCTAAAACACAAAACAAAAGTTTAAATGGATGATATATTTGGGAAGAGTACAATAAGGAGTACTTATTTGGCATTATGAATTGCATATATGTATTATTAGATCTGTTTCAGATTCTAAAGGAAAATATTCCTAAACTTATTCTCCCCCAATTTAATTTTTAAAAGAAGTTTCCAAACTCTTATTACATAGTTCTCAGTGTCAATATCCTTATTTCATAGCCTCCAAGTGCCTTGCATAGACACTTGGATGACCACAACTTGATTGCACACATACATTCCATATCCTTCCCACTTCTCTCTCTTAGTATAAACAAAATCAAACATACAAAAAAATAGAGAAGAGTGTATAGAATTCACCCATCACCTAATTTTGAAACTTTTTGTTTTTGGCTAAAGTTTTTAAAGCAAATTGCTGACATTTACCCCTGAAATACTCCAGTGTACATTTTTAAAATAGGGACATTTTCCTTACACATAATCAAAATTATCAGTAATTCCCTACTATATTCATATATTCAACATTTTCACATTCAAGACTTTCATAATTGCCCCTCCAAGTTTTTTTTTTAAAGACAGGGTCTCACTCTGTTGCCCAGGCTAGAGTGTCGTGGCATCAGCCTAGCTCACAGCAACCTCAGATTCCTGAGCTCAAGCAATCCTCCTGCCTTAGCTTCCCAAGTAGCTGGGACTACAGGCACATGTCACCATACCCGGCTAATTTTTTGTATATATTTTTAGTTGGCCAATTAATTTCTTTCTATTTTTAGTAGAGACGGGGGGTCTACCTCTTGCTCAGGCTGGTTTCCTGACCTTGAGCGATCCTCCTGCCTCGGCCTCCCAGAGTGCTAGGATTACAGGCATGAGCCACAGCACCCAGCCCCCCTCCAAGTTTTTTAACAAATAGTTTTTTTCAAACTGCTATCCATCCAGTCAGAGATCACACATTGCATTTTGATTGTGTTAGTCTCTTAAGTTTCTTTCAATCTGAAACAGCTCCCATCTTTATTTGGTAGGACCCCAGTTTGTTAGAGAATCCACTTATTTTTTAAAAGACAATGACCCTTGGTAAAAACTCCTTAATACCAAATTTTGGTTTTTGGTTTTACAATACGATCATTTTTCTCCATAGTCTATTTTATAAATCCTTGAGATCTTTCACTGTCACTTTAGCCTATAAAAATGTGACCCTTGATCCCTTCTACCATGTGAGGACACAGTGAGAAGAGAGCCATTTAGAACCAAGAATCTAGCTCTCAGCAGATACTGAATCTGCTGATGCTTTGATCTAGGACTTCCCAGGCTCTGGAACTGTGAGAAATAACTTTCCAGTGTTTATAAGCCAAAAAAAAGTGACCCTCTTTGCAACTAGCAGTAGTCTATAAAAATCCTCCCATTTAGAAGAGTCAAAGAGAATTTTACAGGTAAAAGTCATTAATGTCAAGAATTTTCTTACATTCTCTATAATCAGTATAAAGTTCAAGTTTGCATGTCTTGATTTACAACATCTAGAAATTAAATGTGTGAACCTACTACAGAGAATGGGAGAAATCCTGAGCATATGAAAAATAAATCATCCTACCTTTTAAGCCTGATGAACTTGAAAACTGGAAAAATAAACTTATACACTGCTAAAACTGGATTCACAGTCCCAAAAACAAGTGACAAGTGACAGGAGAATTGAAATCAATTCCAGATAATACAAAAATTCTGTCAAAATGTCAGCATATCAATTGAGTCACTCTCCTAATGCTATGATTTGTTTAAAATAAAAAATCAAAACAAGCAGATATTAATCTTTTCACTTAAAAAAAGATTTATTTACATGTCAAACATTTATCATTATTGGTGGTGATAAATATAACCACAAAGCCACAAATAACCTTAGAATTCTCTCAGCTTTAATGGCAGTAGAATCTAGCTTCATAAGACTAATAGAAGTCTTTTATCTCCCTGACCCAGCTCCTCTAATTTCAAATAGGAAACTCTCAACCTTATAATCTGAGAGATCCAGATTCACTTTAGAGATGGACCAGACAGGTCAGGAAGCTGAAGAAAGAAATCAACCTATTTTTGCATCTTACCATCTAAAAATGTTAGTCTGTGTCTTCTAAATAAACAGAGACCTTTTTTTCTTGGTTGAGCCTTTCCTCCTCTTTTCTGTAACAAAAAAGCAGAAACCAAATGTCAGGTGAACAAGACAAGAAGCAAAGGAGGCAAATCCTACAGGAGTTTCAGGTAAGGTATTTTCTTCCCTATATTTTGGGAATAATTACACATACCTGGGAGTAGATTGAAGCTTACAGAGAGCTAAACTAGTACCATCTAACTAATAATAGGCCTCCACTACATGACCCTGGCTATCTGAACTTCAGACAGTTTCAAAATGTAAAGGTTCTGATTTGGGAACTCCAAAGGCTTAAAGCAGATACTTTACCATTAGTATCCTACCTCTAATGTCCACTCTTTATTAAAAAAAAAAGTTTTGTGTTGACCTAGAATTCATCTGTTTTGATTATAGTCTATTCACACCAGAACCTCAGAGTTGGGTTTGTTTAGACTTCTTAAAATCAATTCAATTTATTTTAGTAAATATTTATTAAGGAAAAGAAACAAATGGTGCTGGGACAACTAGATATCCATGTGCAAAATAATGACTTTGGGCCGGGCACGGTGGCTCATGCCTGTAATCCTAGCACTCTGGGAGGCCGAGGCAGGTGGATTGCTCGAGGTCAGAAGTTCAAAAACAGCCTGAGCAAGAGTGAGACCCCATCTCTACTATAAATAGAAAGAAATTAATTGGCCAACTAATATATATAGAAAAAATTAGCCGGGCATGGTGGCACGTGCCTGTAGTCCCAGCTACTTGGGAGGCTGAGGCAGAAGGATTGCTCGAGCCCAGGAGTTTGAGGTTGCTGTGAGCTAGGCTGATGCCACAGCACTCACTCTAGCCTGGGCAACCATACACAAAAGCTCAAAATGAATCAAAGACCTAAATATATGAACTAAAACTATAAGACTTTTAGAAAAAAAACATAGGCATAAATCTTCATGACTTTGGGGATTAGACAGTGGAGTTTTTTTTAGCTAAGACACAAAAGCAGTAGCAACAAAAGAAAAAAATAAATTGGACTTTATCAAAATTTAAAACTTTTGTTCTTCAAAGAACATTAAGAACAACCCATACAATGGGAGAAAATAATTGCAAGTTGTATATCTGATAAGGGACTAGCATCCCTTAAAAAACTCTTACAAGTTAACAATAAAAAGACAACAACCCTAGTTTAAAATGGAGAAACAATCTGAATAGAAAAATCTCCAAATAAGATATACAAATGGCCAATAAACACATGGAGAGGTGCTCAACATCATTAGTCATTAGGAAAATGCAAATCAAAACCTCAGTGATAATACCTCTTCATATCCACTAGATGGCTATAATAAAAAAGACAGACAATAACAAGTGTTGAGGAGGATGTGGAGAAATTGGAACCCTCCTACATTGCTGATGGCAGTGTAAAATGGGTCCAGCTATTTTGGGAAACAGTTTGGCAATTCCTCCCAAACTTAAGCAGAGTTACCATATGACTCAATACTCCACTCCTAGGAGAATTGAAGACATATGTCTACACAAAAACTTGTATATGAAGTTCGTAGCAGCACTAGTCATAATAACCAAAAAGTAGAAAAAACCTAAATGCCCATCAATTAATGCATGGTTAAATATGTAGTGTACTCATACAATGGAATATTATGCAACCATAGAAAGGAACGAAGTGCTAATGCATGCTACAGTGGGGATGAACCTTGAAAACATTATACTAAATAAAAGAATCTGGACATAGAAGGCCACATATTATATGATTTCATTTAAATGAAATGTCCAGAATAATGGTTAAATAGTTGTCAGGGGCTGGTGGGAGGGGAAAATATGGAGTGATGGCTCCCTAGGGGTATCTTTTGAGGAAGGGAGGTTAAAAAGGTTCTGGAATTAATGATGACTGTTGCACAACTTTGTGACTATTAAAAGGAATGAATTTTATGGTATGTAAATTTTATCTTAATTTTAAAATATATTTCATGGGCACTTACTATCAGTACAGCAGACTTTTCTAGTCACTGATTCATAGTGGCCCTGCTGGCTCCTAGCCCAGTGGTTCTTACAAATATGTGCTTCACTTAAAATGTATTAAGGGATATTTTAGAAAAACTTTACATAAGCAGATTTTTATAAAATCAAATCCCACAAAGAAGTCCTGTAATGAAATCTTTTGTAAAATTACTAATTCATGCCTAATTTATCCTGTGAATTTGAATTCTTTTATATAGGATTTACTCAGAGGAAAGAACATCTGTTCAACAACTATTTAGCCCCATTGCATAACACTAAGTGTCACCATCAGAGTATTGGAAGACTTTCCCAGAACTGCCCAGCCTTACGATTTTATCTCCACCACTTTATGAGCTCTTTCAGCCCATCGCTTTTTCCGGAAATGCTGGAAGAGGACCACCACAATTACTATTATGACCATTATTGCACAGGCAGAGCCAATGGCCAGAGCCAGGAAGTAGATCTCAGAGAAGCGAACTGTAAGGAGAAAAAGATCAAGTTATGATTCTAAAAAGAGGACTATGATGAAATCTAAAGGCATAATAGGGATGCATTTCATCAGTAGATGGAATCTTACTTTCTCCTACCTCTATGCATAGAACACTATATTACCTTGTAAACCCTAGAAGCCATAGGAAAACTGTACAGATACTTTACTGATTTTCAAAGTGTGGTCCTAGAAGTAGCAATAGTAATATCACGTAAATTCTCAGGCTCCACCTGAAACCTACTGAATTGGAAACACTAGGGGTGGGGCCCAGCAATCTGTGTTTTAACATTTCATCCAGGTGATTCTGATGCAGTTTTGAAAACCACTGGGTGGGTCGAACTATCTATGGGGTAAGGTTATAGTTGACCTCATCAAACCTAGTGCCCAGCCAATTTTCCCTAACTCCCTCTCACCACTGTCAGTTAGTTATTTATTCAGATTTATTAAGGGTCTGCTATGTTCCAGGCACTGTGATAGAAATACAAAACCAAAAACACTATCCTCAAGGAGCTCATTCCCCCTGGGAATTTAGGCAAGTTAATGGGCAACTGCAGTCTAGTGGATAAATAATGAAAGAGGAAACCCAGACTAGAGTCTTTGGACCCTGACTCTCCTGTCTGTTAGCTTGATTTCTCATTTAAATTTCAGTAAGCTCTCAGAGTCAGGACATTAGAGAATGTCTACCAAGAGTTCTTACCCTTGAGTCCATGAAATAGGATGGGGAAGAATTGGGGGTGGTCCACAAACCCACAAGATCCGCATCTTAATTGTGTGTATCTCCATTTTTTATGGGAAGCAGAGCTATGTCTTTCAATTCTCAAAGAATAATGATCTGCACATAAGATTTCCTTTTTTTTTTTTTTTTTGTCCAGCCTATTCATTTTGCAGATGAAAAAACTAAGGTCCAGAAACATTACATTACTTCTTTCTTTATTTTTTTTTTGGTATGAAATATTTTTTCTTTACTGAGTTAATATTTTATTTTTTATTTTAGCGTATTATGGGGATACAAGTGTTAAGGTTACATATATTTCCCATGCCCCCCATGCTCCCTACATTACTTCTTTAAAACTCAAATGATTTCTCTAGGGTCACGCAATTCTCAATTATTAGGGCCTTGAGAAATAGTTTTAAACTGTACTAGGAATGAAAGGAGGAAATCATACCACATTACAGGCCCATACGTTTGGGATCGTAATACTGCATTGGTTAAGAGTACACATCAGAGAGTGTTAGGTTAAAATATGAACTTTGAGGGGCGAGGGATAAAATCTTTCCTATCAGGCACAATGAACACTGTTCTGGTGACGGACACACTAAAAGCCCTGATTTAAGCATTGTACAAGATATCCATGTAACAAAAACATTTGTACCCCTTTTATATTTTGAAATTAAAGAAAAAAGTTGAAATGGATAGAATAAAATAGTTTTATTTTTAAAAAGAGCAATAAGAAATATCAGCTCTACCATTTACTAGCTGTGTAATTTGGAACAATTAACTTTTTTGAGCCTCAGTTTCCTCATGTATGAAATAGATGATGATATTCATTTCTTGAGTTCTTATTAAAAATAATAATTCAGGTAAATTGTTCCAGGCTCTGCCTGTACATAAACAGTATATGGAGCCGGGCACGGTGGCTCACGCCTGTAATCCTAGCACTCTGGGAGGCCGAGGCGGGCAGATTGCTCGAGGTCAGGAGTTCAAAAACAGCCTGAGCAAGAGCAAGACCCTGTCTCTACTATAAATAGAAATTAATTGGCCAACTAATATATAGAAAAAATCAGCCGGGCATGGTGGTGCATGCCTATAGTCCCAGCTACTCGGGAGGCTGAGGTAGTAGGATTGTTTGAGCCCAGGAGTTTGAGGTTGCTGTGAGCTAGGCTGACACCACGGCACTCACTCTAGCCTGGGCAACAAAGCAAGACTCTGTCTCAAAAAAAAAAAAAAAAACAGTACATGGTAGCTATTATAATTTTCAGTACAATTCAGAGCTTGGGGGATTTTCACATGTATTATTTTTTCCTCACCATATTCCTTGCTATATTATTCTCACTTTACAGATGAGAAAAATTTAGGTTTATTTATAGCTAGCAAATGGTAACAGTGACTCAAAGCTAAATCAACAACTCCTAAGTTTCACGTACTTTGCTCTCTGTTACCTGGCATAGTCCTCCAGGTTGTCCTTTAAAGGGATGCAGACAATGCAATGCACCAGCTTGGAGAACAGTTTTAGAGTCAAAGATGATTGGGTTTAAGTCCTAAGTTACTCCATTTACAGCTCCATGACTTTGGGCAAGTGACTTAATCTCTGTGAGCCTCAGTTTCCTCGTTGGTAAAATGGAGGGCACTAAATGAGTGATAAACTAATAAGATATGTAAAGATTAAACCTGCCACATGGAGCCCTGACATTTGGGAGGTCCTCAGGAAACATTAGCTACCATTATTGGTGGTGTGAGGATTAAATGAGATAGTGCATGTCAAGCACTTTGGACAGTGCCTAGCTCCGAGTAGCTACTCAACAAGTACCTTGAATAATTAAGTGAATGAACAGACCTATTGTTAGCCTTTTATCAGAGAGTTGCTTCCTTTCCCTTTCACAATCTCAATGCCATTTTTGTAACAGAGTCCGAGTCCCTGTGCTTTACTCTCTGTTTCTTTCCACAACCAAACAAAGCCTTTCTTTTTTTACCCCAGGACTTTTCAGTCTCCCTCTGAGGCTCCTAGCATTGAAGGGCTAGTCCCTCTCTACCCCTTTCAGCCATCACAAAAGACTGCCCTTCTCTCCTCTATAAGCTCTCACACTTCCCCAAACCACTGTTTCCCCGCAACCTACCAGTGTGCACGACGCTGAGCCGGATCTCCCCTATCACCCCGTCCACATCGGGTGGATTCTTCACCTGGCAGGTGTATGTCCCATTGTCATCGAACTGCAGTTTCCAGAGGATGATGGAGACGTCATACCGCTCAGGGTTCCCATCCCAGACCACCCGGTCCTTAAACCGCCCACTCATGGGTTTGAAGGGATCCACGTGGTAGTAGAATACCTAGAGAGGAGAAACGGCAAAAGGTCTTTCTTATTCAGTCCCTGGGCAAGGAGGCTGAGATGGGGTGAGCCTAACTTCGTGTCTGCAGCTGTCTCACTTGCTTCCCCCTTGCCAGGCCACTCAGTTCTGTCCAGTCTCTGTCCCTAGAATTGTTTCCCCACTTAACTCTGGGCTTGTTGCTAAGAATAATACTGGAAGAACAAAGAGAGATGGACTGGCTTATTTTCCTAACCAAGGGCCCCCTGGAAATGACAATAATCTACTTACAAACTGCTCAGGCCCTCCATCTAGAGGACGGAAATTCCAGGTCACTGTTAGAGCATCACCCACGGGGGCAAAGCTGGAGAAGGTGCATTTTAACCGAGCATCTGTCCCATTAACAGCCTCCAGCACCCGGGGGGTATAAATTTCCACAGCTGCTATGGGCCAAAGAGCTGCAATGAAGAAGAAAAAGAAAAAGAAAGGTTAACAGGGTATGGTTAAGGGTATGGAGTATTGTGAGAACTTTTGCTGACACTTCCAAAATAAAGATCTGAGTAGAGCATAAAGTGGAACTGAGATGCCCCAGCTCCCAACGGACTTCACCCAGAGTCTGCATACTCCTACCCATATGCAACCTTGACCCTCCCATTCCATACGGTGACTAAAAATACCACACAGCCAGCCTTCTCTTACTTTCTCCGCAGCATGATCTGCTAGCCTCATGGTACCAACTTCAAAACTGTAATAATGAACTACAAACATCAGCAAATAGAATTGAAAGCAGAAACAAAAAACTCAAATGAATCATAACATTGACCAGACATTATGTATTAAGACTAAGCATTATGTGTTGTATGGAAAATGGTCTCCTAGCAGGTAAGTTTTCCATAAAGGGTCCTTCTGTGGATTTCATACTGTTACTAGTCTTCTGCAGAAATTGAATTAATCAACTCCAGACAGCTTATACTTGCCTGCACCCAGAACTTTTATACTGCGTGGCTTTTTTTTTTTTTTTTTTTTACCATATTTTCATTTAGAATGTGTGTGTTGGGACAGTTTCAAAACCACAGTGGGCCTCTCTCTTTAACAAGCTTGGCCTTCCCAGTACTGCTAAGAGTCCCAGACAAGACCCACACACAGAAATATAAGCTCCAAGCCCTGCCAGTAGCGGGAGGTTGAGAGCAGCCACAAAAAAAAAAAAAAAAAAAATGTGTGTAACCTGAGATTAGAAAGCTCTCTCTGTGCCTGAATCACTGGCAGCCAAACACACCTAAACCTGTTTGTCCAAAAGCAGTTCCCCCAAAACAACCCACCAACTTTGGTTTCAGTAAAATCCAAACTAAAACAAACTGCAACTATGGCTCAGGCTCCTAAACAAAACTTTTGTAACTTCTAAGACAATTAGCTAACTTTACAGGGTAGGAAATGCAGGGGGGAATGCTGAGAGAAGCCTGCCGGCTCTTACCTGTGAGCTGTATGCCAAGGAGAAGCAGCACCACACGAGTCGGGCTCTTGCCATACATGAGGGAAACCCAGCCCTGGCCCCAGAGACCAGACCGGGCAGACCAAGGGCTCCAACACCCTGCCAAGGCCACTGCAGGAGGAGCGAGCGCAGCGTTTTCCCAGACAGAGGAGTCCAAGTCCCTCACCTATGCCCGTGACTCATCCTGCTCTGCCGGTGCGCTTTGCTGAAATGAAAGGTGGGGCCTCAGCTCCCAACGCCCTCCTTCTTTCCCTCCCTCCCGCCCTCTACACTGGAGCTCTTCTGCACAAAGTCCCAAACTCTGCAGTCCTCTCTTTACTTTTCAGTTAATCTAACTGGGCTCTGGCCTCTAGATGGCCTCGGAAACAGCCAGAGGAGGTGGTGCCAGCCTGAAATGTCCCAGGCTGCTTTGGGTTTGGCCCCCACACACCCATTTTAAAAGAGGCTTTAGACTTGCCTGGGAAGTGAGTGTTGAAACCACCTTGCAGTGATTCTTCCCAAAGCACTGCCCCAGGGCCACATCGGCCTGGGACTGGATTCACTGCAACTCCCCTACGAGAATCGAGAATCGGAACTCCCCAGGACCTCCTGTGACAAAAAGTCCTCCAGCTGACGCCCTCAGTTTTAGCGCCAGGTTACCACAAGGATTTCCGCACCTTTCCTAGAGACCCAGCAGAAACAAACGAACCAAATCAGATCTCAGCGTTTAACTTTTTGGTGCCTAAGACTTCATCTGCCGTTTTCTTTGTTTTTGTTTTTTAGGGCAGCCTACTGTCTGACAAGTCTAAAGAGCAGAGGAATTTAAATGAGAAAAGGTGCCTTCCTGCCCGAAGAGGGTGGGTCATCCTTACGGATTACTGAAACTGGGGCCAGACTGCAGTAGGAGCAGGATGAAGATTACACACGCAGTTAAGAAGTAGGTTTGGCCAAGAATTGCCCTTATCCCCAAATTAGCAGCCTAGAAACTCTCCAGTGATTCATAACATCTCATGGCAGAACCCTGGATCAGAGAAGTTACCAGGTGCGGGAGAAAGGGGCAGGCTGAGTAGAAAAAAAAACCATCGCAAATAGGGAAGAAAAGAGAAAATTCCACCAAAAGACCAAAAGAGAAGCAACAAGAAAAGGACTGCGTGGGCATGGAACAAAAACTAGGAGACAGCCACGAAAATCCGTTGTTGGAACCTAGAAGGTGCCCCAAGGGAACACAAGCTGTGTGTGTTAGCACGAACCTATTGCTATGATGCGTGTCTCTGAAAACAGTGTGGCTCCCTTGTCAGCTTCTAGGCCAGAGAGGAGCCTAAAATCAGACTGCTGGGGAAACCTTTCCAACGGTGGAGAGGGAGGAGAAGATACAGCCTTCCTGGTATGTAGGTCAGAGAGTTCAGCTCCAGGAGCCTGGCGGACAAAGAGTTAAGGAAACTCAATCTTGGTGCGCAGCTCCAGAAGAATGCTAGGTAGAGGCCTGGGGTTGGTTTTCAAGTTTAGGACAAATTGCAAAATTTGGTGAGAGGTAGAGTTACCAAAGAGCTCAGGGATACAGGGAAAAGCAGCAGGAGAGGAGTGAGGGCAGGAAGAGCTGAATAAACTGCCCGTTGTCAGGAGCAGAAGGATCCCTCCACAGGTAGTCAGACGTCCGTCCGCCCGAGAGCTGGCTGCCAGCCTCGCTCTGAGGGGCAGCCGCTGCCCAGATCCCATTCCTCAGCGGAGTTCAAGTTCCTGACTTTGTGCTGGGCAACACCCCATTCCTTCCAGTTAGCAGGAGTGGCTCCAGAGTCACCGGTTCCCCTCCCTGGGTGAGGAATGAGGCCAAGGGCAGAACTTGTTACGAAGAGAAAACACAAAATAAAAAGGATCTTTGCCCCTAAGAATTCCCTGGATGCCGACCAGCAGGACTTTGATCACAACTGAAGGCATCTACAGTAAGGCCTGCGTTATAGTTTGTGTCTGGGCAGGTGAGAGAAAAGGAAGAGGAGTTCTAGAGATTCACAAGAAGTAAAGTTTTCAGAGACACCACTTTCTTTCTGAACTTGTCCAGAGAAAAATGCTGATTGGCATTAAAATTATGGGCCGGGCGAGGTGGCTCACGCCTGTAATCCTAGCTCTCTGGGAGGCCGAGGCGGGCGGATTGCTCGAGGTCAGGAGTTCGAAACCAGCCTGAGCAAGAGCGAGACCCGGTCTCTACTATAAATAGAAAGAAATTAATTGGCCAAATAATATATATAGAAAAAATTAGCCGGGCATGTTGGCGCATGCCTGTAGTCCCAGCTACTCAGGAGGCTGAGGTAGAAGGATCACTTGAACCCAGGAGTTTGAGGTTGCTGTGAGCTAGGCTGACGCCATGGCACTCATTCTAGCCTGGGCAACAAAGCGAGACTCTGTCTAAAAAAAAAAAAAAAAATTTATGACACGCCAGTAGTTTTGAAAGCACCTCCTCTGTCCCAACCCTTTACACATTTCCCAAAAAGATTTCTAGTGCATTTCTAGACCTTGGCCAGTAAGAAACTCACTGGGGGGCTCAGGAGGACAGCTGACCTGTATCAACATTTGTAAAAATTGTCCTTCTCAACACCCTAGGCAAAAAATGTGTTGTTTTTACCACAAGATGAAATCAGCATTCTCTGAACCAAGTAAAACAAATAATTTAGCTTTTAGGGTGGTTAGAATAAGGCATTTGTTTACTCAAAAGTTTCTGACCATATGTCTTCCTAGGAAAAAATTTAGACATACAAAGTAAAATAAGACATTTCTGTCTGGGAGGAAATCATAATCTAAAGAGGATGGGGAGATGCAGTGTCTTTGTAAATAAATAATTGCCATATTTGTGATTTTTTAAATTCTGTCCTTAAAGGATATATAGGAATTCTGGAAAGAGAGAGGAGAAACAAAGGCCTTCCTATTGAGCAAATGGGTGGGAATATGGTATCCAAGGGGCCAGCAAGAAAGTCCTCAAATCTGGAGCACAGGGAGGGGTGGTAGGCCCGGTGAGAGGCTGGGCCCACCTCGTTTGCCATCCTAAGAAGTGTGGACTTGATCCTGACAACTATACCAGTTAAAGGTGGCTAACATGTTACCCGAGAAAAGTCTCCCTAGAGTGGAATTACTTTGGTACTTCCCAGAACCATTTTAAAAAGGAGGAGGAAAGCCTTGAGATCAACCACCACTTATTCTCCTGGCTTTTTCATGGGCCCCTGACTCAGGAGCCAGAATGAAATTACAGACCTAATACCTGTTTTCAGAAGACTCAGGGACTCCCCGCCTTCTCTAACCAACAACTCCAATCTGTCACATCCTTTTTTGAAACTTCCTCTGGTGTAGAGAGCTTTTCAAACATGAGAAAAGGAGGTTAGGTTGTCAAAGTCCTGGATGAGAGGTGGACCCTCAGCACAAAAGAATATGTGTGTTCCCTTTGGTCCTCCTCCTCACTTCAGGTGTCCTAGAGACAGCCCAAAACAAAGACTGAGCTATGAGTTTAGAAAAGGTGTGGGAGAGAACGCTTTCCGCCTCCCCACCTCATTACAGCTTACAGACACCTCTCCAGTAAAGCCTCAGGCTCCTGTCTTGATTAGAGAGGAGACATCACGCCCTTATTAACCTGCCCAAAGAAGAGACTCTGAAGTTTAGCCCTTCACTTGTTCTCTAGGGAAGCTACATAGATTGTGCAGGGCTGGAGAGATGGGGCCTCTTCGAAGATAACTTTGAAAATCTTTCAGGAGGATAAAGAGACCTTCATAGATGAAATTTCTAACTCCCTGTTAACCATACAGACCACATCTAAATAATGGATAAGAATTTACATTTATATTGTGTTTATTGATGAACACAGTATCTCATTACTCTTGTTCCAGTTATCTCTTGTTAAAATTGGTTACCATACCAATTTTCATTCTTAGAAAGTTAATTCATTTACTAATAAAAGAAATAGCCACTTTTTTTTTTACTACTATATTCTAGGAGGCATGAGGCATAGGAGCTGGAGTCCAACCTGCTTATATCCAAATCCAAGCTCAGCCAGTTACCAGCAGTGTGATGTCGGGCAGTTATTTAATTCTCTGTGCCTCAATTATCTCCCATGTAAAATAGGAAGCATAATATCTGCCTCATAGGCTTGCTATAAGAATCAGGTGAAATACGGTATTCAAGTAAAGCTCTGTGCTCAGCACAAACAGAAAACTCAGTAAATTTTAGTTGTTTGTGGCTACATTAATTAAGATGTTGAAAAACTATTCCTATGACCACTTTGGAAAAAGGTCTGGCAGTTTCTAATAAAGGTAAACATACAACCACCCTAGTAATTCCACTCCAAGAGAAATGAAATTATATACACAAAGATATTTGTAGGAGAATAGTCATGGAAGCTTTATTCATAATAGCCCTGAACTGGAAACAGCCTAGGGAAAACAAAAGAATAAATACTCTATAGAATATTCATACAATGAATACTATACTCAGCAATAAAAAGGAACAAGCTACTGGTACATACAACCACATGATGAACCCTAAAAATATCTTGAGCAAAAATAGACTCAAAATAGTATAACTCTTTGATTCCATTTATATGAGCTTCTAGAACAGGCAAAATTACTCTTTGGTATAAAACTCATAAAAACAGTGTTAGCCCCTGGGGGAATGCAAGTGGGCATTGACAGGAGAGGCAGGAGAGAACTTTCTAGAATGATGTTAATGTTCTGCATCTTGATAGGGGGTTGGATTATGCATTTGGCAAAACACTTCACATGGTATGCACTTAAGATTTATGCATTTTGATGAATATAAATTTTACTTAAATAGTTTAAAAACAGAATTGTAAACAAATACTGAATGCTCACTAATGCTGAAGTATTTAAGGGAAAGCATCCTGATGTCTGCAATTTAATTTGAAAATGTATCAAAAATAAGATGCATTGATAAATGTATGGATGGAGGGAGGGAGGGATAGATATGTTATAAAACAAGTTTAGTAAAATGTTAATTGAAGAGCCTAGGTGAAGTGTACAGGTGTTCAGTATAAAATTCTTTCAACTTTTCTGCATGTTTGAAAGTTTTCATAATAAAATATTGAAGGGAAATCTGCTCCCTCATTCATCAAGTTTCTTCAGCTTTAAGGAAATAACACCACCAAACTTAATAATAAAGTGATTACAATTCATTGATTTATATCTTTCTAGTTTAGACATCATTCCTCAGAATACTGATAGTTGTTAACAAATAAAAAGTACCATTAATAAATTTAAATTACCATTTATCAAATGACTACCATGTACCCAGCACTTTGGTAGGCATGTATATTATTTCTGATCTCCATACCTATAAGATAAGCAGATATCTCCATTTTATAGATAAGGAAATTGAGGCTCAGAGAGATTGATTCATTCTAATAGCTATTGAGACCTATTGTTAGATACCGTGCGTGCTAGGTGCTAAACAAGAAATTAGTTTGTACCCACAAGTTGTTATGTATCTGTTGGGAAGCACAGTCAAATAAATAGTTATAGTACAGTGTGACAAATGAATTGTGATAAGAGAAACACAGAAACTAGGGTCCTTCAGCCAGCCTTGCAGGCCTTAGGAAGCCTTCCCCAAACACCCCATATAGCTGGCTAGGAGCTATACACTCTGGAGTCAGATAAACATCAGTGTGGATCACAGTTCTACATCATTCATTCATTCAACAAGCATGTTTTGGACATGCCAGGCATTTTCCTAGGCACAAGGAATAGAGTAGTGAACAAAGGGGCAGGGGGTGGTCAGGGAAGACCTTTCTGATAAGATGACACTTAAGAAAAATCTGGGCCGGGCGTGGTGGCTCACGCCTGTAATCCTAGCACTCTGGGAGGCCAAGGCGGGCGGATTGCTCGAGGTCAGGAGTTCAAAAACAGCCTGAGCAACAGCAAGACCCCGTCTCTACTATAAATAGAAAGAAATTAATTGGCCAACCAATATATATAGAAAAAATTATCCAGGCATGGTAGTGCATGCCTGTAGTCCCAGCTACTTGGGAGGCTTGAGGCAGCAGGATTGCTTGAGCCCAGGAGTTTGAGGTTGCTGTGAGCTAGGCTAACGCCATGGCACTCACTCTAGCCTGGGCAACAAAGTGAGACTCTGTCTCAAAAAAAAAGAAGAAAGAAAAATCTGAATGAAGTAGAGTAGAAAAGCATGTGGAGCAGGAGGAAGAACATTCCAGGCAGATTAAAGGTTAAGTGCAAAGGCCCTGAGGTGAGAGCATGCTTGGAGTGTTTGAAGAAACACAAAGTGGCCAGTGTTTCTGGAACAGAATGTAGGGACAGTGGCTAGGGCCTGAGGAGGGAGGAGTACAGGGAAGACCAGGCCACACCAGACCTTGTGGGCCTCAGAAAGGACTTTGCCTTTATTCAGGGCAGCCATGAAAAGGTTAAGAAAGGCAACCTATGGCATGGGAGAAAATCATATTTCATATCTGTAAATCATATTTCTGCTAGAGAATACATAAAGAATCCCTTCAACTCAACAACAACGAAAAACAACCTGACTAAAAATGGGCAAAGGACTTGAATAGACATTTTTCCAAAAGAGATATAAAATGGCCAATAAGCACAGAGAAAAGATGCTTAACATCACTAATCATTAGGGAAATACAAATCAAAACCACCATGAAATACTACTTCACACCCATTAGGATGGCTATTGTACAAGAAGAAAAAGGAGAGGAAGGAAGGAAGGAAGGAAGGAAAGAAGGAAGGATGTCTTTGAGAGGACTAGGATAGGATGATGGGAGAAGGAGTGAGGAGGAGCGAGAGGAGGAGAGAGGAGGGATAGGGAGGAAGGAGGAAGAAGAAGGAAGGAAGGAAGGAAGGAAGGAAGGAAGGAAGGAAGGAAGGAAGGAAGGAAGGAAGGAAATAAGTGTTGCCAAGAATGTGAAGAAATTGGAATCGTGTATTGCTGGGAGAATGTAAAATGATGCACTTGCTATGGAAAACAGTATGACAATTCCTTAAAAAATTAAACGTAGAATTACAATATGACCCAGGAGTTCCACTTCTGGGTACATATACAAAAGGACTGGAAGGAGGGACTCAAACAGATATTTGTAGACCAATGTTCATAGCAGCGTTAATTGCAATAGCCAAAAGGTGGAAATAACTCAGATGTCCATCAAACAAAATGTGGTATATGCATGCAATGTAATATTTTCAGCCTCAGAAAGGAATATGGATGAACTTTGAAGACATGCTAACTGAAATAAGACAGTTACAAAAGCACTGTATGATTCCACTTACATGAAGGCAGCAAGAATAGTCAAATTCATAAAGACAGAGGTAGAATGGTGGTTGCCAGGGGCTGGGGGAAGGGGGAAAGGGAAAATGGGAAGTATTGTTTAATGGGTTCAGAGTTTCAGCTTGGGAAGATGAAAAAGTTGTAGAGATCGATGGTGGTGATGGTTGCACAAGAATGTGAATGGACTTTATTCCACTGAACTGTACACTTAAAAGTAGTTAAAATGGGCCGGGCGCGGTGGCTCACGCCTGTAATCCTAGCTCTCTGGGAGGCCGAGGCGGGCGGATTGCTCAGGTCAGGAGTTCAAACCAGCCTGAGCAAGAGCAAGACCCCGTCTCTACTATAAATAGAAAGAAATTAATTGGCCAACTGATATGTATATAAAAAAAAATTACGCGGCATGGTGGCGCATCCTGTAGTCCCAGCTACTTGGGAGGCTGAGGCAGAAGGATCGCTCGAGCCCAGGAGTTTGAGGTTGCTGTGAGCGAGCTGACCGCCAGGCACTCACTCTAGCCTGGGCACAAAGGAGACTCTGTCTCAAAAAAAAAAAAAAAAAAAGTAGTTAAAATGGGCCGAGCGCAGTGGCTCACACCTATAATCCTAGCATTCTGGGAGACTGAGGCGGGTAGATTGCTCAAGGTCAGGAGTTCGAAACCAGCCTGAGCAAGCGGAACCCCATCTCTACTAAAAATGAAAGAAATTAATTGGCCAAATAAAAATACATAGAAAAAATCAGCTGGGCATGGTGGCGCATGCCTGTAGTCCCAGCTACTCGAGAGGCTGAGGCAGAAAGATCACTGGAGCCCAGGAGATTGAGGTTGCTGTGAACTAGGCTGATGCCATGGCACTCTAGCCCGGGCAAGAGAGCAGTGAGATCTCTGTATCAAAAAAAAAAAAAAAAAGTAGTTAAAATGGTAAATTTCATGTATATATTTATTATTACAATGTAAAAAAGAAAGGTTATGGGACAAGGAGTAAAATTATCTGACTCATGATTAAAATGGTCATCTGGGTACTACGTGGGTATCTGGGTCTCAATCTTTTCAACTATTCAATGAGAATAATGAAGCCTTCTTCATGGGGTGTTTGTGAGGATTGAATAAAACAATGCAAGTAAATTACTTATCAACAAAATGTCCAATTTTCTTAAGTACTAAGTTTGACAGTTGTTATCTCTGACATTTCACTTGACACTTCTTGTTTTATTTTTATTGTAAATGTCCATCCTCATTCTTTCAAACTCACAGTTTGGCTTATGGTTATCTTTCAAAAATTTTTAGAGCATTTTTCTGAAACCATGGATAAGTAAAAAATTCGTGTTATTTTCGAATATGAGTTCCACATGGAAGCAATGAAGCATAAGACAGCTCAAAACATCAATGAAGTGTTTGGGAAGGATGTGGCTAAGGAACACACAGTAGTACATCAGTGGTTTGAGAAGTTCCATTCTGGTGATTTTAATCTTGAAAATGAGCCACGTGGAGACCAAGGTGGATAATGATGAGCTGAAAACTGTAGTGGAAGCGAATCCATCTCATCCTACGCATGAATTAGCAGCAAGGTTTGACGTTACTATTCCGACAATATTGGACCATGTGAAGCAAATGGACAAGGTAAAGAAACTGGGCAGATGGGTACTGCATGAATTAAATGAGTGACAGAAGAAAAATCCTCTTGTGGCTTGCCTTTATTTGCTATCAGGACATAAAGACAAACCATTTCTACACTGTATTGTTACATGTGAGGAAAAATGGATTCTTTTTGGCAATCGCAAGCATTCAGCACAATGGTTGGATAAAGATGAAGTGCCAAAACATGGCCCCAAACCAAATATTCATCCAAAAAAGCTAATGGTGTCCGTTTGGTAGTCCAGCATTGGTATTATTCACTTATAGCCTCATGAAACCTGGTCAATTGATTACAGCGGATGTCTACTGCAACCAATTGGATGAAATGATGAGAATGTTTGTGATTAAGCAGCTGAGACTGATCAATAGAGACAGGCCCATCCTCTTGCAAGACAATGCTCAAACACATGTCACACAAACAACGCTGCTCAGACTACAGAGGCTGGACTTGGAAACTGTCCGTCATCCACTGTATTCACCAGACCTTGCACCTACTGACTACCACTCCTTCCAGGCTGCGGACCATTTCTTGCAAGGAAAAATATTCACTTCTCAACAAGCTGTGGAAAAGGCCTCTTGAGATTTCCTGGCTGCTCGCTCTGCAGGCTTCTTCACTGCTGCCATAAACAGCTACTGTTAAGATGGCAAAAACTGTCTCGATAGTTTAGGCGCATACATTGATTCATTGTACTGCTTCTTGTTTGATAATAAACTGCACTTTTGATTTGAAATTGGACATTTTATATTTAATGGCCCAATATTACCGATTCTTGCAATAATTATTATGTCCAATTCTGAAGGCACATACAAGGTAGGCAGTTGTGAGGTGATGCCAGGTAGAGGACAGAGTAGGTACAGAGCCCAAGAAAGAAGACAAAGCATGGCCTTTCTGGCAATTAAAAAAGTTGAGCTGTGGGCCGGGCCTGGTGGCTCACGCCTGTAATCCTAGCTCTCTGGGAGGCCGAGGCGGGCGGATTGCTCGAGGTCAGGAGTTCAAAACCAGCCTGAGCAAGAGCGAGACCCCGTCTCTACTATAAATAGAAAGAAATTAATTGGCCAACTAAAAATATATATACAAAAAAAAATTAGCCGGGCATGGTGGC